TCTTACACACAGAGATCCAGCAACCTCCAGATATTTTGTTATATTGTTATTATCATTATTATATTATTTATACTACTATTTCCATATCAGTAGTGTAGAAACAATCGTGCAGCGGCAGTATGGATTGGGCATTCGCATGGCTGTGACCACTAGCAGCAACGGACCGGAAACAAGCTGGTCGCTGGATTATTTTTTTTGGAAGCAAATGTGAATACAAGTTTGAAAAGGCTTCAAAAAACTCAGGGAGGTGCACAGAATCACCTTGGTCTCGGATACGCCCTATCAGGATTCTACCATACCCACTTCGTTGTTCCCATGGATGGTGCACCCTGAAAAAAAACCAAACCTGTGGCATTGGGTTGGTACTTACTGAAACAATGCTGCCTCTGTCAGTCCATGAGGCAGACGTTGGGCTCGTCCATCTGTAGACTGCTTGGTCATTTCCGTCAGCCATCCACATACCTCGTCCCAACCAGGTGTGGAGTGGAACAGATCAGTTGTCGAGGGATCCTGTTCTTGTTGTTGTTGCTGTTGTAGCTCCTAAAAGGGCATCAAATGGGAGTGTCACTAAGCAAAATGTCTCTTCTTCGGAGTAACTCCATTCATTTTTTACAAATTACTGGCTTATGGGCTTATACGTTACCACCCGCTCCCCGGGGTATCGTTCAACTTTCTACATCACCGCTATTTGAACTTCATTCTTCCACCATCCTCTTTTTCAAACTTGAACTCCTAGCGTCCTTCCCAATACAACAGGTTTGCCTTATTTTTAGAATTCTAAGTGACCTTCAGGGCTCACGCCACCAAGGAAAGAATTGCAACGAACATCATCATCACCATCGGCAGCGCAACAGCAGTGTTCAGAACTTATTCTTCACCGCCATACAACCATAATCTATTTGAAAGCCTTCTTGTGAGAAGAAGAATAAAAGCGGATGGGGCAGTGTTCAAACTTATTCTTCACCGCCATACAACCATAATCTATTTGAAAGCCTTCTTGTGAGAAGAAGAATAAAAGCGGATGGGAGAGGGACTTATTGTCGAGCTATCACAATCGTTTCAGGGTGACAAAACCTCCAGACACTCACTCAGACACTGGATAGAAACTGATAACAACACCACCGACATAGGTCAACAGACAGAGCATACAGCGTCTCCAACCATGCATGTTTGACAAATGTCAGGTCAAAGGTTGGTCAACTCCGTGCTTGCGCCACTCTGAACTGTGACGAGACCACCAGAAGTGTCGAGAAGCTCAGTGGTCAAGTGTTTACATGCAGGTGATCGTTTTCATCATATCGCACATTCAGCATGAGGGTGAAAGAAACACCCCTTCCGAAGGAGGCGATGTGGCCTCCACTCAAGGCCAGAGGTTTACATGCATGGTCACCGAAATTAGCTCCTTACATCGCACGGCAATTTTTGTACAACCATTCCCTCAGGAAAGATAATCCGGGAGACGTAAAAAACTGCTCCTTCTGTAAGAGTCCTTGCAAGAATCTCTGAGCTACCTCAAGCTTAGTCTCGCTTGATTTCGACGGAAACTTACACGAAGCTTGTATATTGACCAGAAGGTATTTCATATTGGGAGCTGATGTTTCTCATAGGGCGTTTTTCCGTTCCGCTCTAGGGATTTCGTTTACTGGAGGGTAACTAGGGTAGAAATAACTGGGGTTGTTTAAACCGTTTTTTGAAACAGATTGTTTCATCTTGGGAGGTTTCTCATGGAGGGAGAGGCACTACAAATTTCTAGCAAAATAAGTAATCGATGCTGACCGCGTCCCACGGATAACAGATGGGGGCCTAAGACTTTCAGATGAGTTCCATGGGTAATGGTACTTTAAAGACGTTACTAAGTTACCATCTTCTCAGGACCCATCACTTCTACTTTGTAGCCAACATGTCAGCCCTTAACAAGGCTGGGAATCAGGAGCTGTAGTGACTAAATGATGGAGGGATCACATAAAGCTAGTCCGCGGTTATTCAAAGCACACGGGAAGCCGTGGATAAAAAGTTGAGCACAGAAACTTGAAATTCTGGAGGAAGAAAGCTGAGGTTAGTGAACGAGAAGTATTAAAGCCCATTAACGGCTGTTTTCAGTTGCTACACTTTAAGTACACTTTAAGCACATATCAGAAAGGTTTATCAAATAGACGAAGCGCCATGCAACCAGAATTAGTATGAGCTCCTATTTGTAACAAAACGCGTGGATTAGGTTCACGAAAAATGACGCTTTTTGGTGCCTTCACAAAAACAGGACCAGCACCCTTTTATAGCAGCTTTACGGTTATATTCAACAATCGTCTGGTGACACAGTGGCTTTCTTCGTGCTGCTGATGAACCACCGATTTCAACAAAAAGTGACACAAAAAGTTAGCTTACACGTAATTCAGCCAACCTTCCACGCCCGACTTCCACGTAATCATTCCAACGCTGCACACAAGATTCCGCATAAGCAGAGTCCAATAAGTCCAGCTCGGACAGGGCATCGGAAACAAGTAACTCCATGTGGTTTGGTATTGGCGTGGAGATGTTTTCATCTACATTGGTCGGCTGGTTAAACTTTTGCTTGTTTACTGACTTTTTCCCCAGAGCCGAACCTGAGTGAATCGGCTTGCTGGTGATTTGAACTTGCAAAAGACGTGGATCAAACTCTAATGGTAGAAGTTCCAAAAGCAGACTAGATAGAAGAATCACATCAGCTCTCGAACGTAGCAGACATTCCTGGGTTCCCAAAGCGTCTGAACCGAATGTCTCGGACCACCACTGGGAGTAAGAAAAGCCGGTGAGCCGAATATCCTCCGAAGACAGCTGTCGAGCCAATAAGAGCGCCAAAGTGAAAGAATTTAGCGCACTACCCACAGAAGTCAATCTTCTGACCTCTACCCTGCGATCGTCATCTCCTTCCAAGTCCAAAAACTCCGCGTTCACTAAACCTGTTCCATCGGAGCCTTCATGTTCCGGAGAAGTCTGGAACACACGGGTCAGCAACTGGTAGATCAGACCTGTAAAGAAAACATCAAAGGAAATGCAAGGTCTGCTAGTGCGTACCAAAGATAATAGAAAAAATGGGAAGGAAGACAGCTCCGCCGAACAGCACTAGCTGTAGTAAACGTGGGCAAGAGATTATTGCAAGCCTTCACGCGTTCAGGGGAGTTGAACAAGAATTTGTGGAGAATACCGTTGCTCCAGAGACACCGCTATTAAACCCAACGATCAACAGAATGAAAGGTAGCTTCCATATCGAAAATGACTACTGTGATCGTGTCAAGCAATGTCACTATTCAGAATTCTCCTGGAGTAAATATATGATCGGCGCATCCTTCTCTATGACTAAAACCATAGATACCCATGTGTGTTCAGTCAAATAGACCAGGAAGCACCCTCGATGCCTCAGCCACCCTGCTAATGACAGGTGGTTTTCACACGATGTTTGCGTACACTTTTTGAAAAACAGGGAGGATTAATGAGGTGTCCTATTCTGATTAAATCTCTCCATTCCACATGCAGTTTTGTCAGGTGGAAAACTAGATTCCATATCTTGATTGAAGAGGGCTGAATTCAAGTCTTTCGATCCGGTCCTGATATCTTCTCACGCTTTGGACGTGATGCCTCTAACTCCATCTCTTCTGACTGGCGGCTAAGGTTTACAATCTGCTCACCAGTATTTACTGATCGAGCTGGATAACCAAATGGCGCAAGGACGACTGTTCAATAGAATCTAATTCAGCAAAGCATTTTCAGCCATGGGTATGGGTGCAACTACTACACCCTATATTCCCCAATCCTTTGCTCCTGGATCATCAGACACCATGTGAAAAAGCTGAGTTTCCCCAGTGGTTTTAAGGTGTATCCCCACACCTGAGTTATGTATTCGTGCTTTAAAGACAGTATAAGACAGTATATGGTATTGGCGTGCAGTGTATGTCTGCCAATTTGACAGAGTATAAGCGCTGAAGGCTCCTACGATTAAGAGTATCGCAAATTTGCTATTATCGGGCAGTTGGTTGGGTAAGGTACGCTAGTCACCTAGCTGACAGCTAAGCGATCCAGTGACGTTTGCTTGGAAGGAATTGTAAACGGTCGGTGAACTAAACACTGCGATGATAAATGATACTTATCATTTGGCCAGGCGGAAGAAGTTTTACTTGGGTCTTTGACCCCATTCTGAGTCTTTGAACCACGCATCTGACTTACGAAGCAATTGGAATAGGAGTTTTGTTCGCCTCTAGTCTCTGATACGAGTACCACCCACAAGGGTTGCTTTTCTGTTCAGAGCTCGTCCGTGGGAGATCGACTTAGCCCAAGAGCGAGGCGAGTAAGGCCATTTCTAACCCGCCCTTCTTCGGAGGAAAATAACATCGTTGCTTCCATAAGCATGAACATAGTGGTCAACTGGTGGAAACACCTTACTGCCTGCACAATCCCATCACAGAGGGATTTTCTGCCAGACTGCTGCACAACAGTATAATTAGTAGTACGGCGTCTTGCTGCTCTTAGTCTGACAGCTTCCCTTTGGCCTACCTAAATTCGAGACCTTGCGGCGCTCAAGCCTGACCACCACGTCAAAATGGCAGCATTTAGTCATGGAGGCTGGATATACAAAAAACCGCACGCGTACTGCAGAGCAAAGGAGCCCTCCAACGGAGATATTGAAGACAGACAGCTCCTCTATTAGTATATAAGAGTTCCATGATCCCCTTTATGATAGACCGCACATGAAGGAAGGGCAAATACTATTTCCTCCATATTGTCCCTCTTGTGTTTCCACTTAAACTGTAACACCAAATGAGGAATGACCGGATGAACGACGAAATTAGTGTTCACACGTTCAAGTGTTACGAGATTAAACCAGAAACTGCGCTTTCAGCGACGGTACAAAGGTTCTCAAGACTGACAAACAGAATAACCGTTACAGCGATACTTAGCTGCCATCTGATATCGCCATTTGATATCCCTTTTCATACCAAGTTCGTCAATGATTTCGTCATTCTTGTCAGAATATGAGCGAAAGCCAAAATTATACTTACCTTTGACCACGGCAACACCACCTTTTGTTGCAACTATAAGTGTACTGACCAACGCCAAAAAGTGTGCCCAATCAACGTCATCAAGTGATCCCCATGTTTGCGGTAACGCCGCAGAAGAAATTTGACTGACTACAGTATCCAGACCCAAAAAAGCGACCATCTGAAACAACTCACGCGAAAAAGATGTAATATACCTGAATCAGAAAGCTTTGTTGTGATGGATCCAGACCAAGGAACGGCGTGCAGCGTTTCTGGAATTGGTGACAGACTATGACAATTTGAAACTGCAATGAAGGGAATAGTTACTTTGACAACCTACGTGATCCCACTGATCCATTTCTCAGGAAGCGTCCGAGCAGCTCAAGCAGCTGGTGTGAGATAATAGGATATGGATCGGTTCCGCATATCAAGTCATGAACAAGAATATGAATACCATCGTCCGAAAAGGAAATATCGGACAGCATTTGATATCCCTATGGATAGAGAAACCACATAACTGAAATTTACAGCACAAACTGACTTGAAAACGATAAGCTGTATACAAAAACCACACCCTCTCGATGCTGTCACGCTACTCAAAGAAGGTGCGTGAGTCAAAATACGGTCAAGTTACCCCGGGCTGGGCAGAAGATATTGAAAATCCAGGGTTGAGTTCGAAGCACTGATCTCTTTCTTAGTATCCAGTGTGCCTCACTGCAACAGTCTCCTGCAAAAGGGCGAGTCGACTCCACTGATATCATAAGTTGTGGCTATTTAGGAACAAAGGCCGGCGACCAAGTCCGTAGAGGCAGCAGTTTCAGTTTCACTGTTGAGTCAGAGTGACGACATTAAGATTGAGTCATCAAACACTTACGCTACCGCCATCCAAGACACGGGTCTTTTGGAGCTCGCCATATTAGGAACTCCGTTGGCTCGGCGGTCTTAAAACAGCTATACCAGTTCATCACAAATTAACGAGCAAGTCGATGAAACGCCCATTCTTACAATGAAGATTTGATCTTTTCTATTTGGTTATATTTTCCCATAGGATTTCTAGAAAATACCACCTTCCCATACATGTTTTTTCACACCGATGTAATGAAAGTGATCTGAGTTGACGTTTTGTTTTTGAAAACCTCCATCCTGGACATGGCAACCATGACAGCAAACGTCAGATCAGTTAACCGTTGGACCAACGAACAGGATGTGCAAACCAAAGAAGCGTTCAGCTGTAGCAATCTTCCGGTGCCTGGCTGCCATGCCACCCGAAGGAAGCACGAGGGCTGTGATACTGCCAGGTTGTCCAAGTCTAGACAGGGGAAGTCGAGTGGCGGAGGTCGGGTTCGAACCACGGACCTTCCGGTCAGTAAATTCGCGCTCTAACCACTTGGGCCATCTCGCAAACCAAAGAAAGTGCATTTGGGTGGCTTCCAAGAGAAGTAGAATTGCTTAACAATGCCGTCTGATTGCCAGTCGGCAACCTGTTCATCCACCGTAAGTCTGAAATACATCACAGACATCCGTCGTCGAACGTGGGCTAAAATGTCCAATCCCAAAATGTCAGGTCCCATATTGAGGCCAAGCCATGCTATTTCAAATTTGACAGAATAACGACACCAAGTTCTGGAAGACCATTTATTAATCCTGGGAAGTAAGCTAGTTTGGATATTCACTCGTGTGCCTAGGAATCAAGATTTGACGTTCCTCTGCTTACTCTGTAGAGCACAATGACAGCTGTGGGGGGATTCCATCTGTACGACCTCGTACGCCACAAAGACAGAGCAAATAATATAACAAAGTACGGCCTACAATAAGATATATAATCAAGTCCTATAAAGTGAGCCATAAGCCATGGTAGTCTCAGGGCCACCATCCAGTCTTCTTGGATAGAACTGGAAAAGCTAGACCGAGTTAAAGTGTGTCAGCGCTCGATGGTAAAGCGTAGATAAGTCTATATGGTGAAAATCACGAACTCGCGACCGTTAGGCACGTGCCTGAGATGTTTAACAGTGAAGTACATCGGGGACGTGATGGCTCAAGTGGTTAGAGAGCGAATTTGCTGACCGGAAGGTCCGTGGGTTCGAACGGACCTCTGCCTCTCGGCTTCCCGTTTAGGCTTGGGCAACCTGGGAGTATCCCAGCCCTCGTGCTTCCTTCTGGTGGCACGGCAGTTAGGCACTGACAGGGTGCTCCAGCTCAACAATTAGAGCTAACAGCCCAAAGCGCTATACCTTGGTTTTGTTAGCTGGAAACGTTTGAAGGAGTATGGTCCAACTCCCTTCCGACCTCCTAAGGCTAAACGCATCTCCTTGAACATCGCTGGAGGTGGCGTCACCGGAGCAAATTCCACCACGAAGCTGTGCACGGGTCACACCAGACGATAACGAGTTTCCACGCCTTTAAGCGCCTGAGGTGTTGGTTCTCGGGGGTAGTTTAATAGGTCAATATGCTGCGAGACAACTCCGTTCGGGGAGCCATACGACCAGATTTGGTGGTTGTCAAACTCCACCTATCGGTGCACGAGACGGGTCATCTCAAAATGTTTCGTAAAAGGAACAGCGACGGACGCTACTGTCTGCGGTTTGCCAGACCCATAGAGAGGTTGTGCAATCCGGATCACTGTGCGCGATACCATTGGTTGTCTTGCGCCCTGTGTACCTTCGATCAGTCTTGCGTAATACGAAAACGGTGGGTGTAGTATACGGCGTCTGTCCTTTTGATTGATTCATATATAAGTACTGGTGATGTACAACCTTGCTTACTGGGCTTTGGCTCATGAGCTTTGTTTCTGTTTTCCATCCACAGAAATTGTCGTGAACACCTGTCTTTGGAGAATCACTGTCCCCTGGTTCTTCCATAGCGTGCATATTACAGTGGGAGCGAAAGAAAATGCGTTCTGAGTTAAAAAGAACCCCCTGGTTCTCCATAGCGTGCATATTACAGTGGGAGCGAAAGAAAATGCGTTCTGAGTTAAAAAGAACGTCATTTGAGAATGTGAAAACAACACACCGCGGAATACGGGTAGAAATCTGAAGCGTGCGGCTTTTACTCGGGCACATCAATTTATGGTGTTCAGTTCATCCGCACCACTACAGAAAGGCAGTTAGGTTTTGGACACGCCCCAGGGCTTTGAGACAAACACATGGGCAAGTGATTTAATGTGAGTCAAAATTCCGTCACCATAGGTCAAAAACTGGCGCGTCAAATTGTGCACCTACGACTGTTGTTTAGTCAGCCCAGTCGCGCGAAATTGGGGAGTACTTGGAAAACGGGAACTGTCGATAAATGAACCAACGATAAGCAGTGCGCCCATAGTGAAGGGCAGTAACAGTAACTATTATGAACCGAAGTATCAGCTGCGTCCCAAAGCGTGGGTATTAAATTCGGATACAAAAGCCATGGTGACCTGTCGATTCAGGGAGTCACGGATTCATGGGTTAATACACGGTATTAAGGACTTCGCCCAAGATGCCCTGATTGGCTTTGTCTTGGTCGTTCAGTGGTTGTCATTTGTCTGGAAGGAACAAGTGAAAAAATGGCGTAGCAATGCTCCATAAGCTGCCAGCGCGGGACAACAAGCTTGCCACAGCGAGGACTCGAATAAAAAGTGTCTGACTGTTTTAAACTGGGTTCTGGATGAGGTTTGGACAACTATCACAGGAAGGTTATTCCACAAAACAAATGTCCAGAATAGAAAAAAATTCCTGAATAAAAGTGTGCGCTTTGAGCATGAAAATCTTCTTAATATGTCCCCGCCGTGTCATCCGGGTCGACGGTGAAAGGCTTGTTGGCAAATGCTGGTTCAAACAGGGTGTAATGATGATTGGGTCTCCTCGGAGGCAACGATCTTCCTGGGGAAAGAAGTCAAGCACCGTGAGATGTGTTTCACGGCCCACGGATTAAGGGCCTATAACGATTTTCGTGGCAGTTCGCTGGATACTCTCAATGGAGGTTAGGTCCCTCTTGCAGCCTGGCACATTCAAAAGGCGGTCTGACGTGGGCTTCATAGAGCATTCGGAAGTTCATCTTCTCTCTTACGAGAGCCGACCAATTTGTAGAATGCTGAATGCCTTTTGAGTTGTCTTCTCATGCTGCGGTTAAAAGGACAAGCTTGAAGAGGCTCAGACACCCAAATCCTTTTTGGCATAGTAATATCCTCTCACCCATACACGAAGAAGGCCTTCGCTGAATCCCGTCCGAAAGGCAAGTGGATGCAATTTTCGTCATTCGGAGGATGGTGCAAGTCCAACGATTACTACTTTGGCGTCTAAATCCATTTTAGGGGGTTCGGCATTTGAATTCCAAGATTTTAAATCGTCCGCATTAAGTAGATATGGAAACATCTGAAAGGTCGTTGATCTATATCAGAAACAACGTTGCTCCCAAAAAGCAGCCTTAAGGAACCCCGGGGCCCGACGCTGGAGAAGAGTAGGGGGAGCCTATTCTCACTCAAAATGTACTGTCTGATGGGAATGCATTTATCTGGTATGAAATTTTGGCATTGGATCCCGTAAGTCTCGAGTTTCTGGGGCAGCGGAGCATGTGAGAACCGGTCTAATGCTTTTGAGAGGTAAAAAATATGGCATCCAATATGAGTCCCTCGTATTCGGCCTGGGTTAATCAGTCCATAAATACGAGCATATTCATCATGCTAGAGCGGTTTTGGAGAAGTCCGCGTTGAACTGGGCATGTCAAGTTGCTATAAATAAAATAGTCAGAGGACGTTCCACCGCCTTCCACCGCACGCTAGTGAGGCAAGTAGGCCTCTAGATACCGGGCGATAGTCAGTCACCAGTTTTGCAGGGTGGCGTGGCAATCGCTTCCGTCCAAGCAGAGGGAAGGTGATCTTCATCGCACGACTGACGGAACATAAGGTAGACACGTTTCTCCGGCGTGAACGACGTTACCTTAATGATCATTAGATGGAGCTCATCGAGCCTCAATGCGCGGAATGGTTTGCTCTTGAGCAAGAGGTGATAAATGTTCTCCACTGTGAAGACCAAGTTAGTCAGACGCCAGTCGTAGCTAAGGCTTGACAAGGATTTGCGAGGGTGCTTTAGCTGAATATATACCTGCATAGTATTCTCTGCGGACTTTCAGGCATCACTCAGTGACACCAGTGAGTCTCTGCAATTTCAACGCACAC